TCACTGCTTGGCCCATTAGCTCTAACTTCTTATTGGCTAACTCTTATAAACTAATTTAACCCATTTCTATTAATCTGTGTATCACCACATGGCTGTGACTTACCAGCTAAAGTTCCCAGCATCTGTCTCTGGTGGCTCATGGTTTCTCTCTGACTCCACCCTTCTTTCTCCCAGCATACAGACTATTTTTCCCACCTTGTTTTGTTCTGCCCTTGCCATAGGCTCAAAGTAGTTCTTTATTCATTAACCAATAAAAGCAACACATAGCCAGAAGGACCTCCCACACCATTTCCCCTTTTCTGTTTAAACAAAAAGGAAGGTTTTTAACTTTAACATAGTAAAATTACATATAACAAAACAGTTATCAAGCAAGAATTACAGTTACTAAAAAAAAAAGAATTACAGTTACTATATTTATATCTACTTTATCTTTTATCATAAGGAAAACTACAACTATAAATTCTTTAACTCCATCAGAGACTCCAGAAGGATATAGTATTACCTAAGTAAACAGGAAGTACATTGTAAGCAACTTCCAAAACTCTAGAACTGACAGAGACATCTCACTGCCTGTACAGTCACCCAAAGTTCTTCTGTACCGTTGGGGCATCCATCTTCAGCCCACAGGTCCATGGTATCTGTCAGATTTTTCCACGAAGCAGGAAATTTCAAGGACAGTTTTGCCTACATTGTTAGTTTGTCAGTCACTTTTTTCTGGGTCCTGCAGAATGTCTCACATTCTTTCATGTAGCAGGAACCCCGAAGGACCATCTCACCTTTAGGCAACTTCAGCAGTGATTTCTCAACAGGTACCTCAACTCCAGTTTATCAAGCAGTCCAGGCAAGAGCAGCTTTTTGCCCAAAGGTCTAACCAACTCCATAAGGAGCCTCTTTGATGTCCATCTTCCTCCTGAAGTAGCTTGTGCTGCCCGGAGCAGATGTGTCTCATTGTCATGAAAATCCCTAAGTTAGTAAAACACTGGTGGGGCAGGCTAAGTTAATAAATCTCGGTGTCATGATTTGGGAACTGGTGGTGGCCTCTCCCAAGATAAAGACTGTTACAGGGTCTCTTGTTAGTATTTTCAGAGCAAAGGCAAAAGGTTCAGAGCCATTGTGATTGAGGTGTTCACTGTCCATACTTATAATTAGGCTTTTCCGGACCCTCAGAGGAGGGAGAAGCTCTTGCATTTTGAGGAATCAATGTGTAACCAAAAATGGGGGCAGTGAGGAAAGGGGTCCACTAAATTGATGCACTCCAGCACCCTAAGTTTCATGGTTAGAGCCTCGAAGTTGGGGGTCTGTTAGCTTGAGGCCTGGATACAGAGCCAGGCCTGAGGTTGGACCTGGTAGTCAAGGGTCTGTTAGCTTGAGGCCTGGATGCAGAGCCAGGCCTGAGGTTGTACCTGTCAGTTTGGGGTCTGTTAGCCTGGGGCCTGGATGCAGAGCCAGGTCTGAGGTTAGAAGAAACCAGTTGCAGATGGGTGTGGCCTGGGTGATTCTGCTGTGGATTCTAGCAGCCATATCCCACATGAGAACCCTTGAAGGTCCTTGTTTAGGGGCACACTTCCCCTTGGAAGTTTCACAATCTCCCATCTACCACTTAGGGGTAGTTTCCAGTGTGGGGAGTTGAACTCTATTCCCCCAGGAGGACAGGCACCTTCTCACATATTTTACAGGTGTGAAAATCAGCGCAGAAAGAGATGAGTTCCCAGGCCCATGCACTCTAAGACAACTGTTTATTGTTTCAACCTCACATCCTCTTTCACTGCCTCAAATCCATGGCAGCTGAGTGCAGGCCTAAGTACCCGGTGGATTCCATGAAGATGTTGACAAACACGCGAACAGTATCGGGAGTGGGGAAAGCAGAGGGCAGTTAAGGGACCAGCTGCCCCTCTCCCAGTGTGTCTGTCCCACCAAACAAATTCTGTTACTGATAAATAGAAGTTTGGAGAAGTTGAGGATGAGCACAGTCCCTGAGGCGCTGCTGGATGTCACAGTTCAGAGCTGAGCTCCCAAGGGATGGAGCCTCCTGGGAGGTGGCCCCACTCCTTGGGGATCTCAACCATGCAAAGGTGCTTATATTTCTGCATCACTTGGGCCTGGCTTACCCTTGGAGGTTGGGCAGCAGCAGCTGCTGCTCAGGGCTTATACGGAAGCCACACATGGTGCCTTTGTGTGCCCGAGTCACCTGGAATTGAATTTTGCAGTCGTTCACATCCTGGTGGGCACCAGGGTTGTTTTTCTGTATGTGTTCGATGATGTTGTAAACTAGCAAAAAAGAAATCTCTTCCTTCACAAGGACAAAGGACGGAAGGCTCAGTGAGGCCGGCATATGGGGCATGACAACCAGCCTCTGCTTGGACTCGGGCAGCTCTCTGAGGAGCAGCATACCACTTTTGGCCTGGGACCCACTCCTACCCCAGTGGAGGCTGTGGTGCTGAGAGCTGACCAGAAGGACAGAGGAGCCGGCAGCTTCCTGGTTTTGGAACAGGCCTGGAAATCCCTATATAGACAAGAACTACTGATTCTGCTTTACTCTCCCCCCCCCCTTCAGAGAGCTGAGGTGACAACACTGGCTACCACTGTGCTAAGGGTCTCACATGTAGCCTTAGCTTTCCTGGAGTTTGCTATGTTTGAAGTTGGTCTCGCACTTACAGCCTCCCACTTGTCTCTGTCTCTCAAGTGCCGGGATTAAAGATGTGTGTCACCAGGCCCAGCTAGAATTACCAACTGAGTCAAAAGTATAAAAAATATACGGGGCCAGGGAAATGGCTCACCAGTTAAAGGGACTTGCCCCCAAGTCTGATGACCTGAGTTCAATCCCTGGGATTCACATGGTGGAAGGAAAGAACTCACTTCCACGTGGTGTCCTTTGACCCCCATAAGCCTGGAACAGCTTGTGAGGGCCAGATATACTGGATCCTATAGAGCTGGAGTTACAGGTGATTGTGAACCACTAGACATGGGCTCTGGGAACTGAACTCAGGTCCTCTGAAAGAGCAGCTAATGCTTTTAACCACTAACTATCTTTGCAACTCCATAGCTTCCCCCTCCGTGAGTGAAGACGGCTTGCATTTCTCACTGACTAAAGTTTTAACCTCCCCTGATTCCCTGGATAGTCCCCTGGCCATCTATCCATCCCTGGATAGTCCCCTGGCCATCTATCCATCCCTGGATAGTCCCCTGGCCATCTATCCATCCCTGGATAGTCCCCTGGCCATCTATCCATCCCTGGATAGTCCCCTGGCCATCTATCCATCCCTGGATAGTCCCCTGGCCATCTATCCATCCCTGGATAGTCCCCTGGCCATCTATCCATCCCTGGATAGTCCCCTGGCTGGCCAGCCAAATGGTGTCCATGGGTCTCCCATTATCTTTTGATCTTAAATGATTATACTTGAAAAGTCTGGGTCTGGCTTTTCTGTTTGCTCCCCCCTTCCCTTTGCAGGGTGTCCTCATCTCCTTTTGAGGGTTCAAGGTCTGTATCCACTGGTGTAATTAATTTGTTTATTTCAGGGCCAGGGATGGAATCCAGGGCTTTGAACAAGCCAGTTGCTACTGTTATCACCAACACCACAGTTATCATGAGATCATCATCACGATCACCGATGCCACCGCCACCATCGTTGCTATCACCACCGCCGCCGCCACCACCGCCACCGTCAACATCATCGTCGTCATCACATCACGGTGCCCAAGCCCCAGACCTCAGCTCAGAGATTCCCAGGCTGACACAGTCACAGTCACCACACTAATTCAGCAGTTTCCATGGACACCTTGTATTCATCTACGAGCCATTTGTACATCCTCTGGGGTGTCTGCTGGGGCTGGGGACAAGGGTCCCCTTGCATTAGTTACTTTTCTCACTACCATGACAATACTGGACAACAGCAACTCGAGGGAGGAAGTGTTCAGCGTGGTTCTCGGTTCCAGGGGACACAGGCCAGCATGGTGAAAGCATGCAGGCATCACAGATGCTGATGTGTGGCCGCCATGCAGGGATCACCCATGAGTTGATGGTTATGATCGGCGCTTACAGAGGTGACTGTGCAGGCTGCCAGGCTGAGGGGCAGAGCCCCAACCATGTTTTTCTGTGGGTGTCCACCCCATCCCAGGTGGAGAATCACGCTTTCTCTAGCATACAATTCAACCCAAAGGTTGTCACTGAGGGTGTGCAGTCAGCGAGCGCGTTGTGTCTAGTTGCCTCACAAAGGTGGTCACAAGAGGAAGTTGGATTCAGCATATTCAGGAACTAGCATGCCACAAAGTGTCGGAAACTGTGTCAGAGGTTCTGAATTCCTGTTTGCGGAATGAGAAAGTCGACCTCGTGTCTGAGCTGGACATTGAAGCTGCACAAAAACTGACTACAGTTATTCTCGCTCAACTTTCCTGAGGTTGAGAACGAGCATATGGGCACGGGCCTGTCACCTCAGCATGGAGGATGACAAGTTAGAGGGCTGCCTGGGCTGCACTGTAAAACCTTCTCTGGACAAAAACAAACAAAAATATTTATTACTATGGGGCATGGGGGTGCCTTTAATCCCAGCACTAGGGGGCAGAGGCAGGCAGATCTCTGTGAGTTTTAGGCCAGCCTGGTCTTCAGGGAGTCCCCGGACAGCCAGAGTCACATAGTGATACCCTGTCTCACAAAATAATGCAAAAACCCAAAACAATGAAATCAGTCAGTCAACCAACCAACCCCCCCAAAACAAACAAACAAACAAACAAAACCCCCAAACAGCAACAACACAGGATAGAGAAGAAGAGAATCATTTTCGAAGAAGAGGGAACAGGTTCGGGGGGGGAGGGGAGAATGAGGCTTGTCCCTGGGAAGCCCTACTGATGTCAGCAAGCAGGGTAGCCAGTAACAGGACTGTACCTCCCAGGAATGGCCTCATGTCCTGTTGTGAAACTCCCCAGAGAGTTTGGGTACAGGGGTGTCTTATAGCTGTCCCAGCAGCCCACGGAGGCAGTTGGACAGTTGGAGCTGAACTTGGAGCATGAGGAAGGCTGGGCTCTGGGGGCTGCTGTGGACATTTCTTGTCTCAGGTAAGGCAGGTGGGAGGTGGGAGTGGGTGAGAAACTGGCCTAGGACATTAGCAACCGTATGAGTGGTGTGTGTGTGTGTGTGTGTGTGTGTGTGTGTGTGTGTACATACATGTTGGTGCTGGGTGTCTTCTTCAATTGCTTTCCGCTTCTTTCTTTCTTTCTTTTTTCTTCCTTCCTTCCTTCCTTCCTTTCTTTCTTCTTTTTTTTTTTTTAACTGAGACACAGTTTCACTGTGCATCCTGGCTGGCCTGGAACTTGCTATATAGACCAAGCTGCCCCTCTATCTGCCCCTGCTCCTGTCTCCTCACTGCTGACATTTAAGGATGCCCTGCACTGTCACACCTAGATCTACCTTGCTTTTGAGTCTCCCTTTGACCCCGGAGTTTGTCTATCTGTGTGGCCAGTGTGCCCTAAGGACCCACTTGTCTCTGCCTGCCTGGTGCTGGGACAGAAGTACGTACCCCACAATAGACTTTCTCCGTGGTGCTAGAGACCAAAGTCGGGTCCTCAGGCCTCTGCACAGCTAGTGCTTTGCTGGTGGGGCCACCTCCAAAACCCCACCAAGCTCTGCCCTTCTGAAGCACTAAAGCAGTGGTTCTCAATCCGTGGGTCGCAGCCCCGTCTGGCTGTCAAATGACTTTTTCACAGGGGTCATTTACGACTATAAAAACCAGATATTTACATTAAGATTCATAACTTAGCAAAATTATAGTTATGAAGTAGCAATGAAAATAATTTTCCGGTGGGGGGGTCACCCATGACCCCTCTGAGTCATGAGGAGCTGTATTGAAAGTTCACAGTATTCGGAAGATCAAGAGCCGCTGTTATAAAGCACACGGCCCCCCAAACGTGGGGTCAAACACTGCTCACCTCAGGCCAGGCTTCGCCTGAGTGCAGAGAGTCAGATCCCGGAGGCTAATGAACAGAAATATAGGAAGGGGTAGAGTTAGAGAGGCAGGTGTCTGTGCTTTTGTTTCTGGCCTTTTAAAATTTTATTTTATGTGTATGTTTGCATGCATGTACCACATATATGTTTGGTACCTGAGTAGGCCAGAAGAAGGCATCAGCTTTCCCTGGAACTGGAGTTACAGATGGTTGCTAACTCTGGTCCTCTGCAGCAAATGCTCTTAACTGCTAGTTTGTTTTGTTTGTTCCATTCAGTCCTGGGGATGGAACCCAGGACCTCTCACATGCCAGGCAACCGCTCTACCACTGAGCCGCAGCCCCAGTCTCTGTGTGAAGTTTCCTGTCAGAGACATACAGAATTTTCAGCGGAAACAATGACAGTGGCACAGGTCTCACTAATAACCAAGGCAGTACTCCTGCCTCAGCTTCTTGTGTATTTGGATTACAGATGGGCGATACCAGGCCAGCAGCTCCAACCAATCCAAACATGAAATGATCTGAATAACAGTCTCTCATTGTAGCCCTGGCTGTCTTGGAACTGTCTATGTAGAGCAGGCTGGCCTTAAACTCACCGCTTATCCTGCCTCTGCCTTCCGAGTGCTGAATTTAAAGTGTGTGAGCCATTATGTCCAGCATCTGAATGATATTATTTCATGTTGAAATGTTTCTTCTTCTATTCCCCCATGGTGCTTTTGATGTGAACAGTCCATTAGACCTCAAAGATGGAATTCATTTAACAGATATTTCCCAGAGTTTCCTTGGGTCTACAAATCTGCTAATTCAGAGGCCAAAGGTATGAACAGAAGCCTGTGTCTGTCCTCACCGAGGTTGTAATCCCAGCTCTTCATCAAATTCTAGAGCTGGAAAGCTCAGCTTCTCACATGGACTGAGCAGGGCTGGGCCTGCCCCCAGCCCTGTGTCTTCATTTGTAATATTTCAGTGAGTCAGTACTTCCACGAACACAACTCAAGGGTGGGGCCTGTGATGTGTCACACCGAGTGGAGCAGTCATCCTGGGATGGAGTAATCAAAGCTGATTCAACACAGCCCTGAGCCTTGGCTGGCCGGTCTGTGTATGTGGGGACATTCTGCCACTCTCTTCTTCTTTTTTTCCTGAGACAGGACCTCATGTAGTCCAGGTTGACTCCAAATTTACTGTGTATTTGACGATTATCTTGAACTTTTTCCTGAGCCACCCATTTCCACCACTTCAGTTCTGAGATTACAGATGTGCACCTCCATGCTGAGTGTGGAAGGCATTCCTGAGATTACAGATGTGCACCTCCATGCTGAGTGTGGAGGGCATTCCTGAGATTACAGATGTGCACCTCCATGCTGAGTGTGGAAGGCATTCCTGACCAGAGTTCAGGTACGCCTGTTGGCAAGGTTTCCTTAGAGATCTAATTGACCTTAGAGCCTGGCTCATTACAAAATCCCCCATGAGTCCTTGAGGTGAGTCTGAGCAAGGCCAGGTGAGGGCAGAGCAGGTCTTCTGGAGCCTGACACAGCCTGTGCCAGCAGGCAAGGGCTTCTACTAAAGTGTAAGTCTTGGTCTGTCTGGGTGTGTGTGGTGTATATTGTGGTGCATGTGGGTGGTGGTGGTGTGTGTGTGAGTATGTGTATATGCATGTGTGTGGTACATTGTGCGAGTATGTTGTGAGTGTGGTGTATTGTGCGAGTGTGTTGTGTGTGTGGTTAGTGTGGGTGGTAGTGTGTGCATGCACGTATGTGTGTGATGCACAAGTGTGTGATGCATATGGGTGTGGTGTGGGTATGGTAGGGGTGGTATGTGTGGTGCGTGTGTGTGTAGTGTGGGTGTGGTGCAAGTGTGTGTGGGGGTGGGCAGTTGTAGTAACAACAGCAGTAGACGTTTCAGGAAGTGAAAGTCTACCTCCCTGCTCCGGTATTTTGTCCATGCCTTTGCTGGAGAATGATGTCCAGGCCTGAGTGGCCAAACTCTACAGTCTCTCGGTGACTTAAGAACTGGTGTTGATGACCTAGATGTTTTCACATCAGCAGGGCCCAATTCCAAGTGATTTTCTTGTTTCCACTCCAAGAGTGGGGCTGAGATTAGTGTGCATGAATGCAAGTGTGTGTGTGTGGGGGGGTGTATGCATGCGAGTGTGGTGTGTGTGTGTGTGTGTGTGTGTGTGTGGTGCATGCACGCGAGTGTGTGTGGGAGTGCATGCGTGCGAGTGTGTGTGTGTGTGTGGTGCATGCACGCGAGTGTGTGGTGTGTGTGGTGCATGCACGTGAGTGTGTGTGTGGTGCATGCGTGCGAGTGTGTGGTGTGTGTGTGTGGTGCATGCACGCGAGTGTGTGTGGGAGTGCATGCGTGCAAGTGTGCGTGGGGGGGTGCATGCACGTAAGTGTGTGGTGTGTGTGTGTATGGTGCATGCACGCGAGTGTGTGGTGTGTGTGTGGGGTGCATGCACGTGAGTGTGTGGAGTGTGTGTGTGGTGCATGCGTGCGAGTGTGTGTGTGGTGCATGCACGCGAGTGTGTGGTGTGTGTGTGGGGTGCATGCACGTGAGTGTGTGGAGTGTGTGTGTGGTGCATGCGTGTGAGTGTGTGTTGTGTGTGTGGTGCATGTGTATGGTGCATGCACGCGAGTGTGTGTTGTGTGTGTGTGGTGCATGCGTGTGAGTGTGTGTTGTATATGTGGTGCGTGTGAATGGTGCATGCACGCGAGTGTGTGTTGTGTGTGTGTAGTGCATGCGTGTGAGTGTGTGTTGTGTGTGTGTGTGTGGCATTTCCAAGCTCAGCACTACTGACATTTTGGGTGAGGTAATGGCTGGTGAGGACCATCCTGTGCACTGCAGGATACTTGACAGCACCTGACCTTGTCTGTCCATTAGTTCCACATGGCAATAGTTCCCATTCCTGTTTATAACAACTGAAAATGTCTCCCAACAACTGACACCAGTGGGGGACACCTGACACCCAGTGGAGGGGCAGTTTACACCCAGTGAGGGGCACCTGACACATAGTGAAGAAACATGGCTGTGGTTTCTGTCAAAAACAGAAGGGACTTATTGTCTTAGGTTCTAGGGCACCCAGGGGTGCTAGCTTAAAAGCACAGCTAGTCATGACTCAAAGTTGTCAGTTTCTTTCTCTCTCCTCCCTACCCAGTTTCTCCCTGTCACTCCGCTCTCCTGTTTGGCTTATTCTTAGGCAGCTGATTCCAATATGGTAAAATACAGAACTGGAGCTTGGCACCCTGCTGACCACCAGCCTCTGCATAGGGTTCTGAGTAGTCACAGCCGGTTTCGATTGGCTCCACTCAGTCACAGTCTGTGTGGCCAGGGCCTTAGGGCTGTTCTCAGTGTAGGGCAGCCCCATCAGCCCATCAGCAAAGCTGTATGATGAAAGGAGGTGCAGAGCTCCCATCCATCATGCCCATGATGCTTTGCTTTTGTTTTCTTTTCTTGATGCTTCCTTGACATCATCCTGTGCTTCGAGAATGTCTTTATACCCACTCTTTACCCTGTAAGGAGCCTTTCTACAGCCTTCCTCTCTCATCATGCCCTGCCGCTCATGTCTCCCTCCAACCGGGCACTTTCATTCCTCTAAAAACCATTTAGGGCTAGAGAAGTAAAGAATACAGCCAGTGTGGTGCTCACCACGCAAGCATGAGGACCTGAGTTTGAGTCCCAAAAGTCTTGTAAAAAAAACCAGATGTGGGGGCACACACTAGTCATCCCAGCACTAGGGATGCAGGGCTGGCTGGATCCCTGGGACTCCCCAACCGGACAGCCCAGCCGAATATTCCAGTTCCATGTAAAAAGAGTGAGACCTTAACAAAAGAAGCAATTAGATGGACAGTATTCTCAGGCATGTGTAATACCTGAGATTGGCCTCTGGGCACCGCAGGCATGCACACATGCACACATGCATTAACACGTACTCACAAAAGGATTGTTTGTAATGTTTGATCCTCATTGGCCACATATCATCGGCTCTTACAGTGAAACAAACAAACACCAAACAACTCCTTTCCGGTGCAGAGTTTGGATGGGGACCATTCCCTACAGAGCCTGTTTCCCTTTTCCTGTTTACAGAAGCTCGAGCTGCCACTGACCCAGCCGAAGAAAGGTATAACCGAGTCGAGGGACAGACCTTGGCAGTGAGCTGTCCCTTCAACATCAGGAAGTATGCCAGCAGCCAGAAGGCTTGGCAGAGGCTGCCGGACGGAAAGGAGCCCTTGACATTGGTCGTCACAGAGAGGCCATCTGCAAATCCCATTGAGGTCCACGTGGGGAAGTACACACTGAAAGATGACCCTGGGGAGGCCATGTTGCATGTCCAAATGACTGATCTTCGAGTGGCAGACTCTGGATTGTACCGCTGCGTGATTTACCACCCTCCTAATGACCCTGTTCTGCTCTTCCATCCTGTCCGCCTGGTGGTGACCAAGGGTGAGTGACCAGGAAGTGTCTGGGGAGAGGGAGGGAAAGGTAGGCCAGCAAGGATGGGGCAGTGGCCCAGGATTTCTAGCAGCTTGACTTCCTGTCAGAATTTCCTTGCCTGCCATCCAAGGCTGTTGGCCGGTACTTGGTCCAATAGTAATTCAGGGCTCTTGCATATGGATTCCCGTTGGGCAAAGAGGAAGAGTAGACTTTGGACATGATTTAGTTTCTCTGAGATCTCCCCTTAGAAGTCTTGTCCTTAGGAAGCCTTTCCTTTTTTTAATTAACCATTTAACTAATTATTTTAATGTTTCTTCATAACAATGTCATAGCCAACATTATAAATATGGAACTATACATTTGGGACATTTTCTGGCTTAAGCAATAAATCTGTTTCAGCAAAGGTCCAGGATACCCATTTGTACCACCTCATTTTCTTCCACACAAACCACCTCAGAACGGGCCACTGTCATCTCCGAAGCAAGTTCAGAACATTCTTCGAAGACAGCAAAAGTTTTTAAGGCCAGGTTTTGCACCCCACAAGCTGCCAGAGCTGTTTTTGCCACAGTCATCAGTCAAAGGTGGGGAAGGTTTGGGAAGGAAGTGCTCAGGCTTACAATGGGTGCACTCTGTTCTCCAGGCATTTCCTGGTTTCTACAGTTTGGGTAGGATTTGCCACTCTCTGGCTTGGTGCTGGACATTTCTTCCTCCAGAGGGGGATCTCTCTAAACCTCAGAGCCCTCTGTGGGGGACCCTCCTATGTAACTTATGAATCCTCCAGGATCTTCCAGGTCATCCGAGCCTCCGCAGATGGGTGGTGACATTCTTCTGCTCTCTTGGGGTGCATGCTAATCTACATGCTGTTCACTGGAGGCTTTCTTCAGTCAAGAGAGACTTTGAGTTTGCTTGCTTGTAAATCTCCTTTCAAGCCACTTCATAGCGACCTTGGCAGTTGGCGGATCCTCCTGGGACACCATGGTGTCATTTTCAGGTTTTCCTGTTCCCTTATTCAGGTAGACATGGATCACAGGTTGTAAACTTCTCCTGTTCATCCCAACAACCTCACAATGCTTAAGGAAATCTGCTGGATCCAGGGTCCCACTACCATTTGATTCTTGGATATAAATTGCACTGTTGGCCAAGTCTTCAGGATTTATAGGGGGATCTATAACACGGCAAGATCTGCCCCTTCATCCGTGGGTCCACCAGGCTTCTAGAAGCCATTTGGCTCTCCAGTGCCCATTCCACCCTGTTCACCCCCTTGCCCACCTCTGCTCATGCCTCCAAGGTGCCTCTAACTCTCTCCTGGTCCAGGAAATCCTTCAGACTCTTGCCCATAAGCACTTGGGCTACTAGAGAGCAGGGTGGGCACCTCAGAATGCTACTTTATAGGCTATGTTGACTTGGCTGTAGGATCCAGCCTGAGCAGGGCAACTGGAGACAACAGCTTTGTTGACCATAACTAGTGTTGTTCCATGGCTGCTTGCCCATAGTTCTTGAGAGGCCCTGCTCAGGTCATAACTAGACAGCTGTGAAGAGGAACTGCTGGTAGGAGGATGACCCAAGAGGGAGAGCCAGGAGTTCAGAAGTAATAAAAACACTGGAAAGTTGGGGTCAGGAGGTCTTGCACAAGCTACGTCTTATGCCAAGAATGTTTATTAAGAAGTACAGCATCAGTCAGGCATAGTAGCACACACCTTTGATCCTAGCCCTTGAGAGCCAGAGGCAGGTGAATCTCTGTGAGTTTAAGGCCAGCTTGATTTTTGTAGTGAGTTCCAGGACAGGCAGAGCTACATAGTGAGATTCTGTCTGAAACACACACACACACACACACACACACACACACACACACACACAGCATCTTATATGCACTTTGCAAGGGGACAGGGGATAGAGGCAGCAGAACGCGGTCATACAATGAGCGAAGTCATCAGGGGAACACAGGAGATCTCAAGCGTGAAACAGATCGCATGCACAGGGGTAACTCCAGTCTCTCTAGTGGGGGAAAGTCTAGTTTCCAGGAACTGGAACCTTAATCCCTTTGAGGCCCAGGCCCTAGGCTCAGATCAGACCTTGCCTTGTTTGCTCCTGGGCACGGACACAGAACTGGTGTTCCCTTTAGACATCTTTTCATCAAGGCCTCTGAGAAAGTCTTGGATGAGCCTGACTCCCAACAGAGTAGAGTAGAGGTGTGGTGACTGGCAACAGGGGTAGCTCTTGGGACCTGAGGATAACTGTAGTCGCTCAGTCCATGTCTGAGGCAGGGCTTGTTCCACCCCCTACCCCACACCCCCATACTAGAATGAAGTTGACTAGTCTCGGCTGACTTTTTACTGGCCTGTGGTGGATAGGCATGGTGGCTGCTGTCTGCTGCCCGCAGGCTGGGTAAGCAGGCCGAGTGCTGCATGCCAACTACGCTGCATAGATGGCCTTAGTGGTGGTGACTGTGGCAGTGGTGGTATCCTAAGCAACAGTGTCATAGTCCTGGACAGGCTACCTCTGTGCCTGCAGGGCAGTTGGAGGCTGTCCATAAGAAGTCACGTATGCAGTCTACCCATAGGGCTGGTTGTCTGAGGACTGGGTGAAACTGACATCAGTAGAGGGGGTCCAGGTTCCAAAGATTTGTGGTGTGTCATGTCATTGAAGTGACTGGGCTGTGGACAATGTAGCCCTGCTGGGTTGCAGCTTGGCTGCAGGTACTGTAATCCATGGTTGCTATGTCCTCTTCTTAGGAAGCTCTTGTAATCTATTCCTTTCAAGATGCCCTTGGTGCCCCCTAAACTATGTGTGTCAGACCTTGCTGTGGGCATGAACCACCTGAACTCCTTATTTCATGAAGACCCTGGCTCAGCAGACCTGAAGTGACAGTTGCTTATGAGGAACGAGGTTCTAGGCTTCAATGGGGACCAATGCAGTTATACACTCCTTATGAATTTCTGAATTCACCGAGGACCAGCTGGTACCTTGCTGGGCTCTACATCCCCAGTGGTAATAGTAGATGATCAAGGATGGCAGAGAAAAGAGAAAAGGCCTCCCTTCCTAGAACCAGCGAGTCTGTGCCAAGTCCAGGCTGAGGCTCAGATGCAATACAGCAGTAAAGGACACCTTTAGAGAGACATGACTTACGGAGGCTGAGAGAGCCATGTAAAGGGGAGAAGGGGGAGGTGGAGAGCTGGACAGCAGCAGAGAGAACGTTTCCATAGCTCAGACAGCCCGAGGAGTCTTTCCTTCACGCCTCTCCAGCCCTCCTCCTTTTCTCCCTTCACTCATCTGTTTCTGTCTCTGCTTCAGGCTGGCTTCTTTGGATTTTAGTTAAAAAAAAATTCTTGCTTCTTGAATAGCCATGTTCTTTTCCCTCCCCAGCTCACTTCTCTTCTGCTCATTCATCCATCCGTCTGTCCATCCATCAATCTTCTGTCCATTATATGTCTGTCCATTTATCTCTCTACACCATGTGTCTTCTTGCAGATTCTTCAGATCCATCCACTTCTGGCATCATAACTACTATAAGCCCAACTACATTTCCCATCCTGATTACCACAAAATACCCGCGCAGAGACAGGACTATGACCCCATCCACAGCTGTTGTCTCTTCTCCTGACCCTGGAGTCACCTACCCAAACAGGACAGATGTTCCCAGGTATGTTTTCTGGGATCCTGGTTAGCATGCCATTTATCTCCTAGTCCAAGTGCTGAGAGGGTGTGGGCATGAATCTGCGGTGGGCTGGAGCGGAAGCAGAAGCAGACAAGTCTGTGCGGAATTTCCCAGGGAGAGAAAAGGTGGCGACTGACTGAGGAGGAGGCTCCCACCCTCCCAAGCTCATCCTCTGTGTCTCCCTGCACATCAGAGTAGTAAGAGGAGGGAAATGGCATTTTTGATGAATACTTTCAGTCCTGCCAACCCAGAAGCAGATGGATTCCAATGTCAGATAGACCAGCTATGTATGTAACATTGGGTGAGCCAGCGACCCCTTGTGGCTTTAGTTCCCAAGGATACTGTTGAGATACTAGAAGACCAGAGGATGCTCTCTGCCACCTCCCCATGTCTATGACTCTCCCTAGTAATGCTCTTTGTGCTGTTGAACTGACTTAGTTTGTTTGTTTGATTTTAGTACTGGCGTGAGCACTCCACTCCACACTGATGGAATGGCAGGCATTCATGGAGACGGTGGCAGACTCATAAACGCAGGTTAGAAATCTCCTGAAAAATTATATTTTAAAATATTGAGACAAAGGGCTGGGCTAGTTTGATCCCTAACCTGCGTTTATGTTTGTCAGCTCTCCATCATTGTAACAAATGACCCAGACAATAGGCTTAAAATGGGACAGGTTTATTTTGGCTCCAAGTTCTGGAGGTTTCAGGACACGGCTTTTGGATCTGCGGTGAAGCAGTATATTATGGTGGCAGCATATGACAAAACCTTCCCTCTGTGGTCATGGCATTGAGAAAAATGAAGAGGCAGGGGTCAGACTATGGGTGTGCTGTTTCTTTGGGAACGGATGCATGTGGATGATGGCTCAATGAGTGAGTGAGCGCACGCCTGAATAGATATTTGTGTGCGTGGATTAATGGGTGGATAGATGAATAAATAGGATGAATGAAAGGATGGGTAGATGATAGACGGAAGAAAAAGTAGATGGATGAGTGCACGGTGGCCTAAAGCGCTGGCCAATTCCAGCCTTTCAAACTTTCTGCCACCCTTCAATAGTGTCATTTTTTCACCAGTACTGATCCACGCTGCAGCAGCAGGCCACACCTGCTGGTTAAGAGCCACCTTGCATGCATGGCCCTCCTTACAGTTGCTGTTGAAGATTAATGTTTCATTTAAATGCTGCATCAAAAGTGAAAAAATTCTTTTTTCCCTAGTCTAGTATGTCCGCACGCATGGTTCCATGTAGCCTTTATTCATATATACCTTAGCATGGCCCCAGTTCTAGTTATATACATAAAGTAATTTTCCCTGGTAAGATTATCTCTCAGCCAGGCATGGTGGCACACACCTTTAATCTCAGCACTCGGGAGGCAGAGGCAGGAGGATCTCTGTGAGTTCAAGGCCAACCAGGTCTATGTAGGGAGCTCCAGGACAGTCAGAACTACTTACAAAGACTATATCTTTAAAATCCTTCAACATTACTACACTGAATTATAAATTCAATAAATACATACTTTTCTGTCAATCAGAAAAGCCATAAACCTCACAATCATTCACCTACTCTTGACTGTTCATACTGTTTTCTTTTTTAAATATTTTTGTTTGTTTTTTGAGACAGGGTTTCTCCATGTAGCCTTGATTGTCCTGGAACTCACTCTGTAGACCAGGCTGGCTTCAAACTTACAGACATCTTCCTGCTTTTTCCACCCAAGTGCAGGAATTAAAGACATGAGCCATCACCACTCCGATAATTTTAAAAACTCTTTTATCTCAAAAAATTTTCATAAGAGAATTTTAGCATTTATGTCACTTTGCATACTATCACATATACAAAATGTCTTCTAAATATCAGAATTGTCTGCACTGGAGAGATGGCTCAGAGGTTAAGAGCAGTAGCTGCTCTTCCAGAGGTCCTGAGTTCAATTCCCAGTACCACACGGTGGCTCACAACCATCTATCTCCAGTCTCTGGGGGTCTGACACTCTCTGTTGGTCTTCACAGGTAGGCACTGTACTGAATTGGTACACAAATATACATTCAGGCAAACACTTTATACATAATTAAAAATAAATAAAATCACAAAAGCAGACTTTGCAGATGATCCACAGTGCAGAACTGAGGCTGTGGTACAGCAGGCTGACCAGCAAGGGTTTAGCATTTTAAAACATTCCTCTAGACCTTGGCATATGGATCAGAGGATGTGGGTGCTCAAGGCTCTGGTTCCATGCTCAGCACCAAGGAAAAAATATTCCTAGTAAAGTTGATGAGAAGTGGTCATGACATTCATTTCTCTGAGTGTGGATTCTTGTTCCAGGCAAGGAGGCAGACACACTGTCCTCTTTCTCAGCATGGTTCCCTGGTGCTGCCTCAAGTGCCTGGCATGGAGTTGCTGCCTTCATGGGGCAGTGAAAGTTTGCAGTCTAGGGAGAGTCAGTACTCATCTTCCCTTCTTTTTAAAAAACTTTTATTTTTAACTATGTGTGTGTGCACGTGCACGTGTGATTTGTGTGAGGGAGCCCAGGGGCTGCCGCAGTCTGGAAAAAGTGCTGGATCCCTCAGAGTTACAGTTACAGGAAGCTGTGAGCTGCTCAGTGTGGGTCCTGGGAACATAACTCAGTCCTCTGGGAGAGCAGTGTGTGCTCTTAACCACCGAACCATCTTTCCGGAAGTTAGTTTGTCGCTGTTGCCTTTGTTTTCCCAGGCGCAGGAAGTATGTTGTAGCTCACATTGTCACTACTGCTATACCCCTGCCACCTGCTAACTTTATTCTGTGATATTTGTGACTATTTTGTTGGCCAGAGCCCGGGCAGGACAGCATCGGTCATCTCAGCTGTCTGCAAGAAAAAATGTTTGAGTTCAAGTTGTTTGCCCAGGTGACAGGAGAGCAAAGACTGCCCTGCTGATGGACAGGCATGGCAGGGAGCACCATTTTCCTGTGACAAGCTTACTTCTAGAGATGTGTCATGGGAAAGTAAGCCTTGTGAAAATATTTTAGGAAGTAATCCCTGGCAGAGCCATCAGGGAAGTGCAATGGGGAAGGAAAGTCAATAGAGGGTCATAATCAGGGCCAGTCTCCCAGGTGTGGCACAGGCTGGGTCCTGTGAGGGAGTCTGGGTACCAGTTGAAACTGCTTCTGTTGGAGGCAGAAGGCTTAGAATATATATATATATATATATATATATATATATATATATATATATTCCTGCATCCGGTCATTGGGTAGGGGAAGCCCTAGCAATGTGACACAGAGACCCCACAGACAGGCGAAGAGCTGCTGTAAGGGGATGTGCCCTGGAGCCCAGTGCATGAAACAACTCGAGGTCCAAGGAACTACAATGGGACATTGGCAGGTTAGACTTAGGAAGCAATGGCATTAGCAAAGACCAGAAGCAGGGCCTCTCCAGCAGCAGGCTCCCCTGGGAGCTGAGGCTGCCACCAGGGTAGGTACTATGGCAACCACAAGGTGAGAGAAAGGAGCTAGCCTCCCTATCCTGGTTGCCTCTCTAGCACGATCAGCTGCTAAACTTACCACGTGGCTTTGGGGATACTGTCCCCTGATAGGGGACAGGATGGGAGCCTGGGGTGGAGTCAGCATACATGGGCAGGTTGCTCCAGTCCATCACCATGATGAGTGCACATACTGCTTTCAACGTTACTGCTGTGATTTGTTCCTTAATTGCACTCAATTCTATTTCCTAGTGATCTTCCATGACCCTGTCCCCATTTATATACTTATCGTTAGCCATGTTTAGAGAAAAATTATAGCCTGGACTCAAACCAACAATACTTTGCCCTGCTATGTAGTATGATTGTACCATAGCGTTATCCCCTAAACCTTTCTTGCTTTAGTAATGTCTACACTTTACTAAGTAGATCATTGACCAAACCCTCACATTCCATTTATGTACTTACACAAGTTCTCATTCTGGGGTCCATGCTGGCTGCAGATTTGTGATCTTCCTGCCTCAGCCTACCCACGGTTGGGATTATGGGCATGAGCTTCGTGAGCCATTAAGTTCTTATATATAAAAGGCTTGTGGACCTTGTGCTCAGTATCAGCACTAGGAAAACCAGGACTGTTAAACATGCAAGATTGCCTCTTCAAACCATTGTCCGAACAGAAGGCTGGGAATGGGTTTAGTTAGACGCCTGGTGACCTGTGCTATCTGCAGGGGCAGATCACCCCTGGATTCCCCAGACTAATGTTTATCCAGACTCTTCCTTCTAGACCCTTCCCTTCAGCATTGTTTCTCAGTCAATAGAAATCATCTTTACGAAAGAGGTCATTTGTACTTTGAAGAGTTTCAATGTTATCCTGTTATTTAAGATTTGTTGTAGATACAGAATTGAGTTAATAATAATCAGAAAACTTCCCCCTAAAATAAACTCCCTGGGTCAGACTTTGAAGTTTGAACCAATACCATCTACTGAGTTTTGCTGAAACAAATTTCCTTCTTGCCTCATGCAGACTTGATGGTCGTGGCATCTGCAGAGACCCCGCAGTTATATATCATTAATACTCTATGTGGCCTCTGTCTGAATCACTGTCACCTAATATTTTTGTCCCTGTGTCCTAACATGTAAAACACCATGTCCTCACCTACTTCCCTATCTGCCCAGTATAGGTGGAGCGCTCTCTCTCTCTCTCTCTCTCTCTCTCTCTCTCTCTGTCTCTCTCTCTGTCTCTCTGTCTCTCTCTCTGTCTCTCTCTCTGTCTCTCTCTCTGTCTCTCTGTCTCTCTCTCTGTCTCTCTCTCTGTGTCTCTCTCTCTCTCTCTCTCTCTCTCTCTCTCTCTCTCTCTCCTGGGTGGGTCTCTTTCTTATGTCTACTGCTGTCTATCCAGAACGTGAAGTATCATTTTACTAAAATCATGACAACGGTGCAATGGAGTTTTCAGTAAGGTTGGATTCTTCTTGGTTTCTGGAGAGGAAAATGAAGACTAAGGTAGGACAACTGTCCCCAGAAGCAGATGAGAATGGGGACAACAGGGAGCAGGTTCCCTAGATAAGGACCTGACGCCATTCCACACAGAAGGTCAAGATGCCCGGGTGAATCCTCCTTATGCATCTCCTGGACCTGAACCCTAGGCTCTCCTGCAAACACATTTCTAATGGGTTATTTTAGGAAGAGATCAACTAAACTGCATCTAAACTTTCCCACAGGCTGAAGGGAGGATCTAAGTTGGAAAGATTGGATGGAGAAGAATTCCATAGACTTGGCAGTGTGGATGGTCATTGATCAACCTTCAATCTCATCTCTCCGCAGGGTCTCCATATCCAGCATTGTTGTTCCTGTGGTCTGTGGACTCTTCAGTAAGACCCTTATCTTCACTGTCTTGTTTGCTGTGACACAGAGGTCATTTGAATGACAGACCATGAAGCCACATAGCAGTGACTTATGACTTTCAGCCACGTCTATCTCACAAGAAGAGCTCGGGGTGGGGTGGGGCTGAGGAGAGACTGTAAAATGAATTGAATCTGTAATCATGGGTAACATCTAAGGTCCAGGATGTCCCTGCTCACACTTCTCAGTTCATCCATCATCTTGGGTATGTGCTCTGCACCCTCAGAAGAGGGGAAACCCAACACCCCCTGACCATTCTGCCTGAATAGATGTTGGTTTGAAATAAAGATGGCCCTGTGCTCCTCCCTGTCACCATTCATGGGAGTCGTGAGGTTTAGGGGGTGACAGCTGCTATTCCCGCTAGGCAGCACAAATCTAGCCACCTGTGCAGGCCCTTGCTTGTGAAGTAGCCTGCTCTCCCAGCCTCTAGGGCCTTCCTCTCTGAGAATCAGACACTCAGATTTGTCTTCCTGTGTGGTCCTCTGAATACTCCCAACCATAAGCCAAGAAGACAAAATTCCACCTTGAGGATTATGGAACTGGGAGAGAGAAATCAAGTTAACCTGGATGCTATTCTCTGGGAAACTCTTGGAGGAGAAGATGGCGTCCGTAGGATGGGATTAGTACATGCATCAATATGCGTGTGTGTTTTCTCGTTGATCCCTCAGTACAACCTGTGAGGCCAAGGTGTATGTGACCATAGGTAGGCCACAGGAATAGCAGGCCACCACCTCCTAGTGGGGATGAGGTCTAGAGAGTTCCCTTGCAGAAGGGCTCCAAAGTCAGAGAGACGGAGAGCCAGGGCTCTGCTGGCAGCTGAATGTCCTCTTCCTGGACTGAGACAGGGCAGGCATGGCAGGAGAGGAGCCCATCCCAGGCTGGGGAGACAGTCCCCAGTGTGCCTCTAACTCCCTCTCACCTCTCGATATCCTCCCAGGTGCCCTGTGGCCCCAATGCTGTTTCTGGGACACACAGGCATTTTCTTGTTTTCTATCTCCTTGGACTCTAAAGACAAAGGGACCCTGTGGGTAAGGAAAGGATGGTATGTTAGCTCATTCTACTTCCACAGTGCCTAGGGCCAACTCCATCCTAAGCTTCCCAAGAGCAAACACATCCCACCACATAGCATCCAGCTCACTTGATCTCAGTCAGAGGCTGCAAAGTGGCTGTTCCACACATCTCAGGTCAGGAAAACACATTCCTGGCAGAGAGACTTTCCCCTACTCCTGTGAAGAGCTCCCAAGTCTTTGGGCATGCTTCTATCACAGAAGGACGTTTTCCTGTGAACATGGCTCTCTGTATAATCCCGCACTGGGTGGTACTGATAAGCACCAGGCATTGCCAATTCTATAATCTCATCTTTTGGGAGAGGCCTCGGTGGGATTCACTTTATCTTGGTGCTCTGGCGTAAATCTTTGGAGGACTGATCCAGAAGCTGATCATCTCAGGAGGTGTTTTTTCTGCCTAAAGAGCCAAGCAGGAGGCTGTGGTCCAGTTAAGGCCCAGTTGGTGTAGAGCTTGTCATAGAAGCTTGAGGACCTGAATTCTGTCCACAGAAACCACGTGAAAAAGTTGGTTAGGGTGAACCATTGCTGTGTTCTTAGCACTTAGGAGGCAGAGAGAGAGACAGTTCCCTGGGACTAGCTGACTGTCTAGAGACCCTCTTCAGGTCATTGACAGATCATGTCCCAAAACAAACAAACAAACAAAACCAAAAACAGGGAGGAAAGCTCTTACATACACACAAGCATACACAGACAGATACACATACACACACGTATGTAGTGTGGTGTCTGCTATAGCACACACACACACACAAGTTGTGTGGTCTATTATAGTTCTTAGGTTGTCAAGTTTCCATAGCTAGAAGTCACTTGTGAAGACAGCGTCAGGTGGGGAATTGTCCCCTGCGGGCATGTCTGTGCCACATTGTCTCTATGGATGGATGAGGTGGGAGCATTAACCCTGTATATGGGTCGTACCATTCATAGACTTCACAGTTTCAGATTAAGGAACCCTAGCTGACCAGAAGCAGGCGGACAGCAGGAGTCCAGTTGCGGATCCTCTCTGCTCTGGACTCCGGATGGGATGTGACTAGCTGTTTTGAGTTCCTGCCTTGACGTCCCTGAAATAATGGACCGTGACCTGGAATCCTTAGCCAAGCCAAGCCAAGCCTAACTCTTTCCCCCTCAGCTGAGTTTTCCTCCGGTGTCTTCTCACAGCATCTGGATGGAACCAGAACAATGGTGCCCATCTATAATCCCAGCAGCAGGAGAGTGAGGCAAGAAGACTGCGGACTGGAGGAAGTCTGTTCTCCATAATGAAACTGTGTCTCAGTCAGAAAAATAGATAAAAATAAGCAATGGTTCAGACCCAGTGACTAAACTAATGGCCTGCAGGGTCTGGTCCAGTTGGAGTCTGGGCCAGAGTCACCTAGGCTGCTTGCTACAGTGCAGAAGCCTTGGCCTTTTTGCAGGCCTGTGGACTCCAGAGCCTCTGAGGGGAGAGCCCTGATGTGACTATGTAAGCCTTGCTTCCTGAGTAACTCAGCTGTCTGGCCATACTGAGAACAATGGAAAGAACGAAACTAAAGATGAAGGGCTGAGGAGATGCCTCAGTTGGTAAAGGGCTTGCCACATAAGCACAGAAACCTGATTTTCATTCCTAGAAGCCACATAGAAAACAGTGGGTGTGGTGGTGCGCACACAATACAGCGGAGGGGAGATAGAGGCAGGCAGCCTATCTCACCTGCTGAGGTTCATACCAATGAGAGATTCTGTCTCGGAAAAAGAAGGAGAATGGTGTCTGAATAATGACATCAGATTGTCCTTGGCCTTGGAAGGTGGCAAATCTGGATGTTTCAGCATCATTGGCTTGGGGAAAACTGAGTGAATGGATGTTCAGTGCATGTGGCAACATCTTGGTATCCAGAGGCAGTGCGTGGAGCAATGTGGTGGAAAATGGCAGCCCCAGAGTGTTTCCCAACAGACTGTGGCAGCAATGCAAGAAGGAGGCTGTCACAAGGACAGGGTACTCCCCCTTCTTCACTTTCCCTGGCCAGCTTCCTCTTGTCACGGTTTCCTCAGAATGTCTCAATGGGACCTCCAGGGACAGACGTCAGTCAACATCTATGGGGGGCAGCATACTCCAGCAACTGTAAGGGGCTTTGCCCCTTGTCTCTGGCCACTGGCAGATAGCATAGCCAGGAAGGAGCGTCAGATGGAGGAGACCTGAGATGAGACAGCTGCTCGTATGGCTGGGGCTCTGCCTCTCAGGTAAGGAGAAGTAGGCGAGGAAGGTAGAGGAGACAGTGCCAAAAAAAGGGACGGAGCCTGCTGAGGGGAAGCAGCTGCTCAGAGAAGTTTACTTTTCTTTCGCAAGACGGACTTGGGGAGCCGAGGGGATGTGTTAGAGGTGGGCGAGGACTGAGGTAGGAAGGGAGCGAGGCCTTCGTGATCCTCCCTGACTCAGCAGGGAATGGACAATGAAACAAGTCGGAGGTTCTCCTAGGTCATATTGAAGTTGAGAAAGTTATGTGGTCGTAACCAGGCAGCCCTGGGCTCTGCTGAAACCTACCTAGAGGCAAATCTGGGAAGCAGATCTACTTTAAAGGGGCAGCCGATCACAGGGCAGCATAAATGCCGTGCATATGAGTAGGCCAACCTAAGAATTCACTAGCAGGTTGATGGAAAGCTCATGTCTCAGTACTTCACACATAATAAATACTTAATAAAAGTTATAGGGATGATGGAGGTAACAGTATAACCTGGTGTGGCGGACCATGGCATGAAAGGCCAAGAAGGAAGAAAGGTTAACTGCCATTGGCTCTGTTCATGCGGATGCACCTCTGAACAAATGGACAGTGGGTGAAGGGAGATTCCACCCGAGGACACCAGGAGTGAACAGAAAGGGCCACGTGCCATCCAACAACGAACATGTCTGGGCCACCGCATATAGAACAGAAAACACTAGAGATCTGGGTATGGTGGTGTAACCCCAGCAGCCTGGAGGCAGAGGCGGGAGAGCTGTGCTGAATCCGAAGCAGCCTAGACTGTATGTAGAGTTCAGGTCAGCCTGGATTGCAAGATGAGACCTTGGAAAGACAGGAAAGAAGGAAGGTGGAAGTTTCTGTCCTGCGCATTACCATTGGTTAATAAAGAAGCTGTTTTGACCTATGGCAGGGAAGAATATAGCTAGGCAGGAAAATAAACTGAATGCAGGGAGAAAGAAGGTGAAGTCAGGCAAATGCTATTAGCCACCCAAGAAGCAAGATATGAGGTAACAAAGGAAGGGAGAAAGAAAAAAGAAAGAAAGGCAGGAAGGCAGAGAGGAGGATGACTGCTTGCATGCGTCCACCCAGTTCTGGAAATAGAAACGGTGATGCAATACCATTCTGCAATATTTTGCAATTTCTCAACATGAAAATGAAAATTTCCCACTCTACAAATTGCAGATAAGATATTTACTTACCTCTCTGGCCTGTAGGCATACACACAGACAGAATATTGTATACAAAATAAATAAATATTTTTTAAAAAGGACACAGGCTAAGAGAATGGATACGAAAATATTACCCAGCCTTCTGCTGTTTACAAGAAACACACCTCAACCTCAAAAACATTACATCAGAGTAAAGGGTTGGGAAAAGGTTTTCCAATCAAATGGACCTAAGAAACAAGCAGGTGGGGCTATCCTAATATCTAGCAAAAGTGATTTCAAGCTAAAATCCATCAGAAGAGATGGAGGACACTTTATACTCATAACAGGAACAATTCATCAAGATGAAGTCTCAACCCTGAATATCTATGCGCTTAATATAAGAGCACCCACATATTTAAAAGAAACATTACTAAAACTTAAATTGCACATCAAACCCCACACACTAATAGTAGGAGATTTCAACACTCATCTCTCGCCAATGGACAGGTCATCCAGACAGGAACTTAACAGAGAAATAAGAGAACTAACAGATGTTAATAAATCAAATGGACTTAACAGACATCTATAGAACATTCCACCCAAACAGAAAAGAATATACCTTCTTCTCAGCACTTCATGGAACCTTATCTAAAATTGACCACATACTC